TCGGCTGTATAAAGATGCAAGAGTTTCCTACGAGTATCGTAGCCTGTTAAGACTTTGCAACTCAACTAAATGCAGGCATGATCCTGGTCCACGGTACCACTTCATGATCGCCAGGAATAATTTGTTCGCTCCTGAACGTCGACCCCGAAGCCACATTCCTTTCTAAGAGAGAAGCGAACTACGAGGGCCTCGTGGTGGTAAATGTTAACTCGTTTAAAAGGAAAGGAGAACTATTTTTCTTGAAAAAAAAAAAAGAAGAAAAGAAAAAAACAAGAAGAAAAAAGTAAAAGAAATAAATAAAAAAGCACGAAATATAATCAACTGACTTCGCATTTTACATTTCGATGGATATCGTGAAACTAGTTTTGAAATTTTATCGTTCCATCGATAAAGTCTTATGTTGTATGATATCTCAGATTAAAATGCGATAGCCTTTATTCCTGCAGTAACAAAATTGAAATTCCCTGGCACGCGATATGAATGCCTAACCAGGAATTTAAAGATCGATATCAGTATCGATTATGGTCCCTTTAGTTTTCCTTTCCATTTATTATTCCCACTGTCCCATCGATCGTAAATCATGTTGTTTTTAGTATCGGTGACATTTTACGCCTCCACCGGAGACAAGTCGTCATATCGTCGTACCGTCAACCCTCGCGATTCACTCGCCAAATGAAAAGGAAATCGTATGTGAGATAGGCAAGAGATCACGATCGAAGACACGGTTGACGTTCGAGGTGCTTTAAAAGCACGCCCGGTTAGTCGTAAAACGATCTTAAATGTTGATCTTCCATGATTTATAGAGATCGTAATTCATAGCCCTTTGTGAAGAGTGTTTTAATGTGACGCAAGATCTACGTCTTCAAAGTTCAAAAGGTTAGAAATTCTTTGAGATATCCAGCGAGTCTCTCTAAGCTGACCGTATGCCAAAAGAGAAAGCAGACGAACATTTCGCAGGATTTCCTTTTACGTTCGTCTTCGTTTTCTTTTTTTTTCTTTTTTTTTTCTTTTTTTCTCATGGACACATTCGCATTTTTAAATATATACCTTTACTCACTTGGTTACCTTGATTATTCCACGGAACGACTGTAAAGTAAATTTCATAACCATTTATTAAATCTCATGATCGCTCTCCTTGTCGATACATCGATGATATGCATTCTCTGCAATCGTAACGAGCTTCGAGAGAAAATTCTCTGTATAGAAGCAAAGGTTCAGGGACGAGCGATGACATCCGATGATTGCAATAATTCATACGCGATTGGTTAAATAAGCGAGACAGGTGAGCACGATTATGCGAAGTTAAGTGGCAAAAGCAGGGAGATATGAACGTTCGAGCGTAAAAGAGACACGAGAATGGAGAATCGTTGAGTCGAGATTTTAATAATGTCTCTTCATAAATCAACTTCAACGATGTCATGTTTCGTAAAAAAAAAAAAGGGCGGACGTAGAGTGGAGTCCATGGGTTGGATCTCGACATGATTTTTTTTTTTTTTTTTTTTTTTTTTTTATCAATCGGAACTCGTAACTCGTAACTCGTAACTCGAATTTCACAATTGTTTAAAATGTACAGAATATTCCTATTAGTACCATTCGTCGTATTTATTTGTACGTAATAAAATACATACAAAAAGAATAATAAAAAGAATCATTCTTTACTATTAATTTTCTCAAGTAGTATTAACGAGTACTCACGTAACATTTATATTGCATACCAGTTAAAAGAAAAATCCAAACGGTGTAATAACTCGGGCAATCTCGTTAATCAAGGACTAGAAATAATTATCCAGTTATCAAAGAATTGATACTGAATCTTTGACTTTCGTTTCTTAATGGCAGTAGCAGGTCAATGATAAAAAAAGATAGATATATATATATATATAGAGAGAGAGAGAAAGAGAGAGAGGGAGAGAGAGTCGATAGCCGAGATCGAATCGGTAAAGAAAAAATAAGACTTTTGCCCTTGGTGATCCAGTGAAGTGAAAGCAAGTGTGGTAAGTACATAGATATCTATATATAATATGGCAGGTCTCGAGTTGGGCTCGGCTTTGGTACTCGCGGAACACTTAAAGGGAGATTATAGGAAAGGGGCCCAAAAGGGGCGTCAGAGCGCGCATTTCTTCGCGTACGCACGACGCCGTCATTATCGCCCACGCGCGCTAACTGTACGCGCAATTGAATATCCCTTAGCTGAGGCCTCTCTACGCTTTATACATACGTATACTTACTCATGACAATGTGAGAGGCCTACGCCCACGCACCTGCGCCTGCTACGTGACTTCTCTTCGCTCTTTTATCATTTACCGGACGAGGATTAATTTAAATGCCGCGATGAAATTACCTCGGTGATTTTATCCTATGATTTTTCTTTTTTTTTTCTGGTGATACCGCGTCAAAGTGCCATACGTCCGTTTCATTGGAAAGATTACCTTCGTCGATCTCTTTTTCGTAGAAAAAATTCGAAGGAATAATTGGTATGATTATTTCAATCTTAATCTATCAGGATCGAATTTTAAATCTTTTTTTTTCTTTTTTTTTTTTCTTTTTTTTTTAATTTTGTTATCGGATTCTCAGTTAAAACTTCTTCTTTAAACACGTTATCATTTGTGGATCATAAACAAAGTATCGAGTTAACTCAAACAGGATTAAAGTAGTAGCATCTAAAAGTCTCCTTTCGTAAATATCGTAGGTGGATGAGAAAAGATCTAGGAAAGACGTGGGTGGATCTGGTATTATGGATCTGACGCCATAACGAAACGACTTTGAACGTGAAAAACAAAATATCAGTTGCAAAAGAGAGGAAGATCGAATAAAATCGGCGTAGGAGTTACCGGTCATCGGCGTCAAAGGTCATTGCGCTTGCATGATCTTTTTTTAGAAATCAGAAACGATAGGTTCGCGCCGAAGATAAAGGTCATTGTACGATTTAAATCTAATTCGCGTTATAAGAAAAGGAAAAAAAAGAAAAAAAAAGAAAAAAAAAAAAAAAAGAAAAAAAAAATTTCAAGTCTAATTAGCCTCGTTTTACTTCATACTACGTTTTAATTCATAGCGAGGATCATTTGCATAACCGATCATCGCGCATAGCGAGCTTTCTTACAGCATGATTCATGTCTGTTCTACGTTCTGGAAAACAATGGTGACCTCTGATCGGCAAAGTGCCATTAATTGAGAATAACATGTCGTCATGGACGTCTGGTAAGGTGCTAGTCTTATTCTTTCTTCCTACGAGTATACGTTAACGACTCTGAGGATCTATCTGGGGGCGATTCGTTCCAATGAATGATTTCATTCATTGCGCCTTACGAAATTCCAAAGGTCGATTATGTTAAGATTGTGTTATTTCAATTCGATAAAAATAATAATTTTCATTTATTACTCTGACTCGACACTTCACAATATGACATCTCATTCCTGATTTCTTTCGTAATTAAGTTAAAATATTTACTATTTAATTTAAAATAGCTTATTCAGAATGCCCATTCGAATCGATTTTACGGTGTGAATTGTGAAAGGAAAAACTTTTTTCGTAGAAGGCATTGAACGTGTTGCTCCGTTAGATGATTCTCGATTTTCCCTTCTCCTTCTATATAGCATCAGTGAGACCATATTGGTGATAGTTAATTCATGATATCGAAGCGTTTAATAACTCGCGTTATTGTCGATGTGTTCGGCGAAGTCACGCCTTTAAATTGCGTTTGTCCTCGGTATCGGACTCTCTCTTTCTCTTTCTCTTTCTCTCTTTTTCTCTCTTTCTCTCTTTTGATATTCCAGCATTGTCCTGCGGCGAGATAAGATAGCAGATTTTGATTATAGCCGTATGTGGTTGATTCACGCCTGCCTTCTCAGGGTCATTGACAGTTGTTCCTTCATAAAGCTTCAAAATATCACTGCGGCATCTCCGTTCGCAATTCCGCGTAAGGCAATCGCGATCGCGATTACAAAATTTATATCGTCCGCGCGACAAGGATCTCGTTAACATGGACCAAAGGTTAGCTCGTACGTTCTTTGGATGCTGCTGTAAGCAACGTAAGATTGTATTCGTAGAATGGAACTTACAATACTTGCATGTTCTGTTTATAATAATTTTTTAAAAAAGATCTCAAGTACAAGCCGCGTATTTTATATTCCGATTTTCCTACATTGAATGACGTCATTGTTTATATATTACGATGGATAGTGTCCATGATTTTTCTCTCTCTCTTTCTTTCTCTTTCTGAAAAGACAAAAATATTTTTCTTCAGTAATATTACTCATGGTAGTCGAAAGCTCAAAGATTTACCGTCGAAAATAAAGTTGTATCTTCGTGGCAGGGAATGCATAATGCGTATTCATTTTAAAATTTTAAATTTGACATGAGCGTTCAATTAAACTTACAACTTTGTTTCCTGTTGTTTTCTCGATGATAAAAAGAATGCCGATTTATCTCGCGTATTCGTATTCGCAAATTCTTATACTTATGCATAATGCAACGACCGGATTGAACGAGATGTCACGGATAATCTTCTCTTTTCGAGGAAAAAAAAAAAAAAAAAAAAAAAAAAGAAAACAAGTTTGAACAAAAATGTTGGAGTTAGTGTCTATCATAAGACGTATTTATTTATATTGGATTAATTCAAGCTTTTCGATTTTTTTGTTTTTGCCTTTCAGATCATTCAATTATTTAAGAATAATTAATATAAACTCGTTCGTTGTTTTATATATCAGGATACGAGAAGATTGATAATATCATTGGATAGTGTCATAGAGAATAAAATAAATGAGAAATAAAAGAAAATAAAGAGACGTTCCTGAAGCGAAGGCGTGTGTCTCTACGATGCGACGCGCGGATGCGAGCATTATTATACAGCGACAAGTGAATAATTTTACGGTAAACCTTGCTATAAATTAGTCGGTCCCCTCGTCGTTGTTGTCGGCTCTCATCTGCATGGCGCCGCGTCTTGCATAACATATAAATTCGCAAGCGGCGATATTCTCAACAGTTTTTTTTTTCTCTCTCTTTCTCTGTCTCTTTTTCTCTTTCTGTCTTCTTACGTTTTTAAATTCCAAGATCGATCGTCGGACGTAAAACCGATAATAAAACTCGTATAAAAGGATGCAGATCGTAACGTTCGACAGACGTCGAGCTTGAAGTTTCCTATCCTTCATCGATAGTTTAGAGAAGAATAAAGAAGGAGAAAAAAAATTTGTGCGGTTTTCTTCGTAATAAAAACGATTCTATTATCCCGAGATAAAAAGTAAGTAAGGAAATATTTTACATCGAATAGGTAATTTCTAAATAGAATGCGTTGATATTTTAATCGACCGACGTAGAAACTAAACGGGATCGATCGTGATCGTATTTAACCGGTTTTAGATCCCAAGGGCAAACTCGATAATGAAGGAACACTTCCGATCATCTAAACATACGTAACTTCCTGTTATTAATCGTTAGATCAAGAATTTATGACTTTTTATATTTGCTACTATCTTTTTTAATTAGACCTTTTACGCAATGACTAATGTATTTTAAATTGATCTTTATACATTTTATTTTTAATTTAAAATTTAAAACAAACGTATTATATGTGAATTTTTTTTATTAAGTTTATAACTTGCTAAAGAGTTTGTACAACAATGATCTACGTGATCGTAAAAATTACGGATTAAATTGGTTAAAATTATAAATGGTTAAATACGTTTCATTGGATCATTCAAAGTTATCATTGTAAGAATTGAGATAGTTTAAATGTTATACGTTTAAGAACTTGCTTGTTCGAGCTGGCATCTGTTAAGCTGGAACGTCTATCGTTCGATGGAACGGTACCGCCGATTTAGAAATCTACTGAAGCAAGGAGTTCACACGTTCAGGCTAATCGGACGCGCGCGCGTGCTTCGAGCGACATGGTAGGTGCTAATTAGTCATTCCGTGGAAGAAACCTCGAAACGTGCAGCGCCTTATTTCAAACTCGGTAGTCCTCGGTAGTGACCATTAGTCGTGTGGAAAGGTGCAGCTGATAAAAATTCCTTAGAGATGACAAACCGATGACGATGCTTCTGGGAGTTAGTTTTATTCTTCCTCTTTTTATTCTTCATCTTCCGTGTACTGGTTGGTTAATCCTCGATTCTCGAGGGGAACGAAGATTCGTCCCGCACGCGATATTACGTGAGCTACCAAGCACAAAATTTTTCTTTCTTACGTCTACTTACGTCTGCGGTTTCGCGGGTAGTTTCTGTCTCCGTTTTTTTTTTTTTTATTTTTTAACACGTACCGAGTTCCAACGTAAACGACAATCAACATCGTTAAGAAGAAAAAAAAGAAGAAAAAAAGAAAAAGAAAAAAAAAAAGAAAAAAGAAAGAAAGAAAACAGACCTTTAACCAATTCTCTTTTTCGAAGATTTTCCTTCTTTGTTATCCTCGTTGCTGTCAGTTTGACACATGTCTTAAACGTTTCTCATAAAACAGGTTCTTAACGACTGTCCTCGTAGTAATTTGCATAGAATCGAATAAAGGCTAGATGTCTCGTTAGAAAAGTTTCTCAAGGTTATTAGATAGATACAATATCGTATGTACATGTATAGAGTACTATTTCGTGAGACAAGTTTTTCTACTTCGGTTATACAGATAAAAGTAATTTAACGTCTAACTTGTTAAAGAATTTTCCAACACCTTCGAGAGTGGACGATTGCGATCTGGTTCGATAGGAAGGCGCTAACACGTTCACACGAGGGCGTATCGATAGTGACACGTTCGATTACTTTGACCAACCCGTCCACTTGCATTCTCCATACTCGGGGTAAGTGTACTTCGCAAGGTCGTTTTTTCGTAGACCAACTTAAATTCTTATTGGTTGTTATTGAAGTGGATGTACATAAGGTATATACGTAAATTTACGAACTTAATCAAGCTAGTCGTAAAATTTATGACTAGATTAATAATAACTTTGCTAAATAGTCGTTGGTAAGAGTGAACGTATCCACGTACTTGTTTTAAGAAGGAATAAAATCTTTTATGGCAGATGATTAATCGATAACGTGTCATTAACGTTGCTACTAGGTGTCGAAAAACTTGGACGATGATAATAAGAAAAGATCAATGTTCGCGGAAGATAATACGGTAATGATAGACCATGCCATAATTTATTAGGATCAACCTTCTCTCGACGTACGTTAGATCGTAACAGTAAATTCCAATTTGGATCGATTGCTTGAAAGATATTTTTCCTTTTAATAGCGATCGTGATCGTTCGGAAATCGGCTCGTGTGCCGTTATCGTGCTCCTTACGTGACACGAATAGTGTCGTTCAAACGAATTCATTGTCAGCTGAATATCATTTTTGAATATTGGAAAATATATGGAAAAGAATTTATCGTCATTCACTTTCTCTTTTTATTCGATGATGTAAAATAATTCTTATCGAATTCATCGCAATCATGATCGTAGTATTATTAAAGACCGATAACTCTCGATAACTATACCAGTAGTTTCGTTCTTCACGGAAGTAACTACGGAATAGTGGACCTTCTGCACTCGAACCTCGTTAAATCGTTTCGCGAACGATTCGTGCCGTTCGACAGGCGAGAATTATCATTCTAACCGGCGGTTAGGTTAGCGTGTGTTACTGGCAAACGTAGGTTCAGGGAACTTGCATGGTAGCGACTGTAAACTTACAGTAGGTAGGTTAAAAGCATCGTTTAGATATATTGAAAAAGTTCATGTAATTCACCGACGTTAACAGATCAATTTAGTATGACTATCGTCAAATGTCCTAGTTAACTTCTAGGAATTATCGCTACTTAACGTGCTTCTAAGTTAACTTGAATGAGTTTCTATTTAAACAAAAATTTCATTGATTTATATAAATAGTAAATAAAAATTGCACATTCAAAATACTTTGTTACAAAATTCTGTCACATTTGTTTTGGCTTAGTGATTCTCAAGAGTCAATTCATCTAATAAGCTATGACATTTAGAATATTAGGTTTATTCCTTTCTCTCTTTCTCTCTCTCTCTCTCTCTTTATTTGAATTATGAATGTACCCTAAATGAACGTGCGCAGGCGCAACCTTCCTGTTTCGTACGTCGAACCGGGTAGTGAGAGAACAAACGATGACGAACGACTCTCCTGGCCATTCTTAAAACATACGAAATTTATCGTCCTACACGTCCATCCGTTCATATTATAGCTTCTCTCAAGTCTGCCAAGAGAAAGATGCTCCCATGAGCAAAAATTCCTTTTTCTTACTCGTGTCGTATTGTATGCAGATTCTCTAGTCTAGGATAATCCTTCCTTCTCTAGAAGTAATAAATCTATTTTTACTGGCACGTTAAATACATCTCGCGTTTGTAGTTAAGCCTAGATATTAAACGATTAACGATATAAGTTATTATAAGATATTCTCGAGTTTCATTGATGAGAAAGATTATCCAATAGAATTTCAAGGATTTACTTACGAAAAATAATGTGAAATTTATCGAACAAGAAGTTGCGAAAAGATAACAACGAAGAGTAATGTCCCATCTTAAAGTTATTCGTAGGTGTGGTCGATCAATGAAAAATGATCCTTCGATCTCTCGCACGAGGCAATCCTTTTTCAATAGATATATCCTTTAAATAATCTATTCTCTATCTTCATCGTAGATCTCTAAGTTATGTAAATAAGACTTAGAAATGTTTATCATAGTTTATTCGTAAAATATACTATCGTATATATACATCACGAAACGTTTAAGTATTGGATATTCCGTCATGATTAGTCTCAATGAGGCAATAGATCGATCTAAACTGATTAGAGGAGAATGATAGTAGGAAGATTTGAGAACCCCTGTATGGTAGGAATCTGACGGTAAATTACGAGCTGCACGAGTCTATCTACGCAGGATGTCCAAGCTGCGCAGGTGGTCGAGTCGAACGTCTAAGAGAGAGAGAGAGAAAGAGAGAGAAAGAGAGAGAGAGACGTACGACGAAGAAATTACGAGAGACAATCGATTCCTTTTTATCCGGGCCATTGATAAAGGACCTCGTGCTATTATGGAGAGGAAAGATAAAAGGACGAGATGAATGCGCTGTAGGGTGATTCATTTTACTGGAAATATATGGATAATGTATATAAAAGACGGAGACGTTTATAAAATACATACATACAGGAATTATTGTACATACGCGTGTTCCGTTTGGTAATTATTTATTAAAAAGTATATAACGTTCTCTCATTTCTCGTACAAAAATTTCACGATGGAAGACATCTCATTAGTTTTCACGATTTCGTCGATTTCTTTTGGAATCGTATGACGCCATATGCCAGACTTTTGCAGTTAATTTGGATTTTTTATTATATATATTTTTTTTTCCTTTTTCTTTCTTTTTTTTCTTTTTTCTTTTTTCATACCTCCGAAAATGACATCTACGGTATAATTTTATTGCCGGTAACGAAGTGAAAGCTGTTCGAGCTCTCGCGTCATTTTAACGATCGATAAATAAACAAATCGTTGGACGATGAAGGAAAATGGATCCAGTTTTAATCTAAATCAAAGTTTTGCACTTTAGATTACGAACCGGCCTTGGCGAATAGAATCGCTGCTTTCCCGTTTCGTAAGCGAAGCTCGAGAGAAAATTGTGTGGGACGTTTTTATTCTGCAGTCATTAAGACTAATTGATGAATAGTTCCACGATTTCCTTGACAATTACGTTATCTTCGTTTTCTAATATATCGAAGTAGTTCGATCGGAGGTTGAAACAAAGGAGCGAGAGGAAATATATATTTGAATTAATTTATTACGTGATTTATTACGTTTTTTAACGATTTTCAAATCGGATGACAATGTCTTGATAGGATGTATTTCCTTTCGAACGTTAAAGATATTTATCGCAATTAATATTGAACATACATACGTCGAGTTAAGTTCACGCAATGAAATATAATCAATTTCAAATCGTCTTATAATATCTCTCGCCTTATTTCTTAGTAATCGTTACATCGCTAATGATTTTTTATATCTCTTTCGTGGAACCAACGATCGATTCACGATCGTTGACGAGTGGACGTGGCATAAGTTGCAACTCGGATCGCATACGTCGAATGGTTTTATGCAAATCCATACGAGTTAAGAGTTACGAAAGCCGAGGACGTTGGGCTAAAAAGAGAAAATAGTAAGGCCCGTTCGATTGCGTGTTCCAGAAAATACACAACTTGTTTTTGAATTTGTCTTTTAACCACGATGATATCTTCTTTTTTGATATTTTTCAATTTTTATTATTATCCTTTATTTCTCTCTGTTTGTCTTCGATCGTTCGACAAATAAAATGTCTTCGTCAATTCCAATTTCATACGATGACTCCTCGTGGTCATTATGCTAATATCTAATTAACCTTTCGAAATGTTTGCTTGTTAAAGAGTATCACCACCGACAAGCCACTCATTTTAAGGTGTTAATGACCATTCTCGCCTTAATTGACACCTTACGATTATACGCATTAGTTGATATTTTCATTTTTATTATTGGAATACATGTCAGATTTCACGCTCGACTCTTATCTGTTTTTAAAAAAGATTAAAAATTTCTATCGAAGTCGTAAGATTTGAATGTTCTTTCTTTTTTTCTTTTTTCTTTTTCTTTTTCTTGAAGAGCAATATAATGTTTCGAATTGAAATTAATTTGAAAATAAACGTCGTGATCGGTTATTATCGCGAGTTAAATTGAGTGCAAATGCATTAAGCGTTTCAAGTAGTTTCATTTAGCGATACCAAAGGCAGACGATCTTCTTAAGTGCTTAGCTTAAAATAAACCTTCCCTGTTTGAGAGTTTGGTATAAACGTAAGTTCACATAATCTGTATCTTATTAAGAAAATTATGAAAATGATTATGTTGTTAGGATATTCAAATTATCTCATTGAAAATGTGCAATATACGAATATGAAAGTATCACCAATGCAACGAGCCAAAGATTATACTGGAATACTAGTGAATCCTTGTTGCGTTTGATTTACCGTTTAATAGTTTTCAGAAGCAACCGAGCATAGCCTCTTTAAAGTTAACGAGCTTACAAATAGCACAGGGCCTAGTAGTAAACATGCAAAATTTTATTAACCATAAAGTCATACTTCTTTGAATCATCCTTTAGAATAGATTGAACTAGTTTAACATTAACTATAAGGATTTTGCCAATGGTCTTTATTTGATTATTTTAAAATTTACATTAATCTTCTTTAGAAACTTTGCCCTAAATTCGATTCTAAATTTGTTACTAAAACTTCCTCGTAAGCAAACATTAGAATTTGTGTTGAAACGTATGTGTTCAACAAAGTTGTTACACCACTGATCATAAATTATAGTAGTGTAGCGTTGAACTAGCGATCGTTTTCATTGACTGAAGCGATGTGAGTATATCAGATGGGAGCGGAGCCATTGCACTCGTTTGCGAAGAGACGCATCGTCAGACATTCTCCGTCTCATACGCTCTTATAGAGTATATGTGAGTCGCGTAGGAATAAGAGAGCTTTCGATATGCCAGTGCAGCATAGGATCACGCACGTACCCTACGTACGTTCGAACAAAAATAGAAATAACACGGTGCTTAGCATGAGAGAGCATGTCTGCTGTGTACGCGGTGAGATTATCGATACCTGACAGCTGACCCCGTGAGGTCAGCACGAGTAGGCGAGGCCTCCGATGGTGAAACGGAAAAGGAAGTCGTGACTCTCTTGGTTCCTTCCTTCTACCATTTTATTCTTCTTGTCTCGACTAAGAAGATCGCTTTGAATCGATTGTTTTCTTCATTCTACGATGACGCACACG